TTGTTGTTGTTGTTGATGATGATGCCAATGATGACGACGACGACGACCAGGGTGGTGGTAATGATGTCTCTTCGGGTCATTAACCCGGCGCTAAATTCATCCATCTTGCGCCTAATCATCGTTTAATTATGTCCTAAACTTTTTCAAATAAATTCTGAGGAATAATAAAAATAATAATAAAAATAAATACTTATTATATTATTATTATTTTATTATTTTATTATTATTATTATTTTATTATTATTATTAATATTCTACTTTTTTTATTACTCTTCAGGCAAAATTGAAATCCCCTCATGAATATTTAAGTTTATGTTGCATTAGCGCTTAGTTTTATATTAAGATGTGCATCAATGTTTAATCTTGTTTATTCCATCTTTCTTCTGTTCACTCTCTCTCTCTCTCTCTCTCTCTCTCTCTCTTTCACTGTTTTTCACTATTTTTTGAATTCTTTTTAAAGTTTTAAATTTGAAAAACCCCCTGAAATACCGCCAGGTACCTAAGTTCTTCTGAGAGGGCCGGTCTGGCATCTTCACTGCATCTGACCGAGACACAAGTCAAAATTTGGTTTCAAAATCGCCGCAATAAATGGAAGCGACAACTAGCAGCCGAGTTAGAAGCTGCTAGCTTGGCGCACCACCACGTAGCTGCGGCTACGGCAGCCGGTCTGACGTCACACCAGCATAGATTAGTGAGGGTGCCAATAATTTACCCCCACCCGCACCCCACTCCTCATCATCCTCATCATCACTCTTTCCATCAAAATGAGGCGATATCCCTGGTGAACATGAGTTTGAGGCCGCATTTTGCGACTCAGTTGCATCACCATTCGTTGCCGCAGCAAGCAGCAAATGCAGCAGCTGCAGCGACTTCAAGCGTTGCAGGATACCCGCTGCTCCATCTGCAACAACATCATCAGCAACAACAACAGCTGCTTCAACAACAGCTCCAGCAACAGCTCCAGCAACAACAACATCAACATCAACATCATCAACAACAACAAAGGATTAACACGCCGATATCCTCATCTTCATCCTCCTCCTCAATGACGTCACACGATAACGTGACGTCGCACGAGAATGTAGGTCATTTGATGAAATCCGGGTCACCACTACTTCAGGAATTCCCAAATAACAATTCCAGTGGTTTCGTTATGGACAGATCTAATTATAGCCAAATGGAAATCCCGCGAGTTATTGATAGTAAGACATTCTGAAGATGATGACGATGATAATAACAATAGTAATAATAATAATAAAAATAATGGCGAGAATGATGAAATTGATTATGATAACGAACTTCAATGTTTCGAACACATTTCGTTAAAAACGGGTAACATTTTTGTCATTCTGAATTCTATATCAACACGCTTATAACAAACTTCGTTATAAAAGTGTGGAAATGGCCATTTTATTTTTACGCGGCCCTTGAGGCCTTGTTTGCCAAAACAGCCAGACATTATGACGGAGAAAAAGGAGCCTCAAATCTTAAAAAAATTCTCCACCGGGTCGAAAAAATTTGCTATTTAAGTACATATGTGGCCCTTCAAAGTTAAATTGTTCTCAATGTGCGGCCCTCACAGCAAAAAGTATGCCCACACATGGCTTAGAACCATATTTATCGTTCTATTTCAATTATTTAAGCACCTTTTTGACAATTTTTTCCCCGAACAAATTTCATATAACGAACTTTTTTCATGGAACCATCAAGTTCATCTAAAAAGCAAATTGTTTTTCACAGTAGCGTGGTTGTTGCTATTTAATATCACTTATTATCATTATTATTATAATTATTATTATTATTATTGTTATTAATTATCATCATCATCATCTTATTGTTGTTGTTATTGATCTTGTTGTTGTTGTTGTTGTTGTTGTTGTTGTTGTTGTCGAACTATTAAATTATGAGAAAATTGAAATGTAAATCTTTCCCATTTACGTTGAGTATTTACTAAAATGTGTGTGTGTGTGCTTGCGCGTGTGTGTGTGTGTTTGTGTTTGTGTGTGTGTGTGTGTGTTTGTGGTTTGTGTGTTGTAAATATAGACGCAGTCAAAATCTAATTATTATTATCATTATTATTATTATTATTATTATTATTATTTTCATTATCATTATTATTATTATCATAATTATTATTTTTCAACTAAAAAATTGTTTTAATTTCATTTCAATTTATACAATTTTCATTTCAGTTCCGGGTAAATTGTAAATTAATTAATGTTGTTGCCATTCAAATCACCATTTATATTATTATTATTATTATTATTATTATTATTATTATAAATTTTCATTTTATTATTCATATTATATAATTTGTTGAAATTTATTAAATTAGAAGAGAGTTGTTTAGTTATCACTCAAAAATTTTAAAAATTGATATTATTGTTATTAACTTGATAATAGTGGTTGTACTAAAGTGATAATACTACTAGTAGTAGTAGTAGTAATAATAGTAGTAGTAGTAGTAGAAGTAGTAGTAGTAGTGTTAGTAGCAGCAGTAACAGCAGTAGCAACCAAAAGTATAAACAATCAACAAAAATGTATACCCAAAAATGGTTACTAAACAAACGATTCTCAAATTGATAAAAAAATAACTAGACAGACATAAAAACACACGCCACACACTTTTTAAAAGACACACACACATAATAGACGCACACACACACACACAAACACACACACATACATACACACACACACATACAACTGAACTACAACAACAGCATCGAAACGAACAATGCATAATTCGAACGCCAAACGAATTTACATGAGGAGAATCCCTAGAGACCCCGTACCTTACCACCCCCTCTATTTCCTCTCCATCCGTCCGTTCATCCGTGCGACCTTTGAAATCGTCTGGGCGTGTCTCATTCCGCTAGACGGAAATGTAAAACGGAATGGGATTGGCTTACTGGCGATCACGTGATTGAATGATTGACAGGTCTGTTATTAAGATTGAGTGAACGAGCAAATGAAGAGAATTATGGAGCGAAGGAAAAGAGAGAGAAAGAGAGAGAGAGAGAGAGAGAGGGAGAATAAAAGAGAGAGTTTTATTTATCTTCTCTGTTTTTGATAGTGAAGTATGCGGGTGATGATAAATGATGACGAAGATGACGATGACGATGGTTGAGATGATGATTATGATGATGACGATAATGATGATGATGACGATAATGATGATGATGATGATAATGATGATGATGATGATGATGGTGGTGTCAACAATTTTGGAAAAAATAAAATCTTTTAATAACGGATTAATAGCCGTTATTTTTTTTATTGTAGAATCAAATGTGATAAATATTGAAACAATAGATTCTAGCACATACACACATACACACACTTATACACACATACACACACATACACACACTTATACACACATACACACACATACACACACTTATACACACATACACACACATACACACACTTATACACACATACACACACATACACACACTTATACACACATACACACACATACACACACTTATACACACTTACACACACACTACACACGCACACACAACACTTGCACACGCGAACTGTTAGTAAACGAATGAAGAAATTTAAACAACGGCATGAACAATCAGGAAAACCGAAAACAAGAAATTGAAAGATAGGGAGGAAAAAATAGTGAATGATAGAGAAGATGAGAAAGAAAGTGAGAGAAAGAAAAAAAGAAGAAAAGAGAGAGAGAACAGAGAGAGAGAGTAAGAAAAAGAAAACAAAATATTAAAAGCCGAGATTAAAGCCACGAAACTTTTGGGAGTTGAATGCTCTCTAGTGAACCTCAGAGACTAATTTGGAGAATTATTTCTGATCTTTTGTGCTTGCCGCCATTTTCTATGTGACGTCATCTTTGTCGCCAGCAACGACGACGACGATGATGATGATGATAGTGGTGATGGTGAGGATGAATGATGATGATGATGATGATGTATGACGAGTATATATCGATGGTAGTAATGATATAATAGATAATCATCATCACCATCGCTACAATCATCATCGTCGTCGTTATCACCATCATTTTCACCATCATTATCATCATCATCATTATCATCATCATTTTCTTCTTCTTCTTCTTCTTTTTCCTGGTCACGTGATATGCATACGTAAGTTCCGGCTAACCGCTCGACATTCAGTCTTTACGATCTTAACAATCGTTCGCACTGACTTCCCATAATGGTTACAAACAATAATAATAACAACAACAATAACAACAACAATACTAATAAGAAGAAAAATAAAAAGAAGAGGAGGATGAGGATGAAGATAAAGAAGAAGATGATGATGATGGTGAAGAAGGAGAAGAAGATGGGAAAAATAAGACTCAAATATAAAAATTATTACTATTCCAAGATTCTTTTTCAGTTAAACGACGCAATTTTCATCATCATCGTCATCACCATTACCACTACTGCCCTATCATTATCATCGTCATCATCATTGTCATTACTACTACTACTACCACGCCATCATCATCATCATCACTACTACTACTACTACCACCATCCCATAATCGTCATCATCATTATCACCATTACTACTACTACTACTACTACTACCGCCCCATCATCATCATCACCATTACTACTACTACTACTACTACTACTACTACTACTACTACCACCATCATCATGAACATCGGCAGCATAGTCAGCTGAAAAACATCATTGTTATCCATTCAACCCTCTGATAGTCTCTTAATTTGTTGGCTAACGTTTGAAAGGACCGTGAGGAACAAGAGAGAGAGAGAAAGAAAGAGAGTGAAAGAGAGAGAGAGAGAGAAAGAGAGAAAGAGAGTGACAGACAGACAGACAAAGAAACAGCCAAAGAAATAAAGAAATAAAAGACAAGAGAGAGAAAGAGAGAAAAATAGACAAAGAAAAGCAGACGAAAAGAGGAATAAAAAAATAAAAAGAGAGAAAAAGAAAGAAAGATAAAGAGAGAGAGAGAGAGGGAGAGAAAGAGAGTAGAGAAACGCGGAAAATAAAAAACACATTATACGAAAAAAAAAACGAAAATTGTAAATAAAAAACAAAGAAATGCAAAACGGATGGATTGAATATAAATTAGAATGTCAGTGAAAGACAGACAGAAAGACAGACAGACAGACAGAAAGAGAAAGAAAAAAAAATAACAAAAAATAAAGGGAGAGAGAGATTGATGAAAATAGAGAAAGTTAGAAGAACTGCCTTCTCCATGTTACATTCACAATTACGTTTCTAAGATTGGTTTGCTGACGACACGATGCGATGATGATGACGATGATGCTGACCACGATGATGATGACGATGATAAAAAAGACAATGATGGTGATGATGAAGAAGAAGGAGATGATGATAACGATGATTAGGTTATTGATCAAACTGTAACGACGAAAGGAATTTATATAGGATTTCTTTCTTTCTTACTAAATATCATCACCTCCTAAGTATCAGCTATTCTTGTTACAATCATCACCATCATCGTCATCATCATCGTCATCATCCTCTTCCTCCTCTTCCTCTTCCTCATCATCGTCATCATCTCTTATCTTCACCACTATCGTCAACAAAGAACAAACATCGACATCCATTTAAAAGTATTTATCTGGATGATCCGGTGTTCCATACTCATATAATGACGTCACTGTATACGTCACTGATGCATATATATATATATATATATATATGTATATATATATATATATATATATCTATATATATATATGATGCGCGTGTATATTTGTGTTTACTATACGTAATCTCAGGAGAGATTCTATTGGCTCAATCTGATCACGTGACGAAGACGTTGATGATGATGATGATGACGGTGGGAAGATAGTGATGATAATGGTGGTAAGATAGTGATGAAGATGATGAGGAGGAAGAAGATTATAATGACGTAATTTCTGATGAGGAGAAAAATGTTGGTGAAGAAGAAGATGAGATGATGAGGACTATGATGACGACGACGACGAGGAAAAGGAAAATGATGAGGATAATGACGTCATCGCTGATGACGACGACAACGACGACGATGATGGAGTAGTTATGAAATCGTTTCCACGGAGATAATGCGGAGTTTAAAAGAAAATCTAGAGCATGAATTATGCATGGCTCCTTTCTCATGACTGATAATATGCACAACATCCCGATGCTGCTGCTGTGGCTGCTGCTGTGGCTGCTGCTGTGGCTGCTGCTGTGGCTGTTGTTGTGGCTGCTGCTGTGGCTGCTTCCAAGTGGTAATAAAAGTTTGATGATGCTGATAGCGTTTAAGATGATGATGGTGTTGGTGATGGCAAAAAACAAAACAACATGGTGTCAGATTTGATAAATGATAAATTAAACAAACACACATCACTACTACTCTAACTGTTGCTACTACTACTACCACTACTACTACTACCACTACTACTACCACTACCACTACTACTACTACGACTACTACTCCTACTGCTACTACTGCTACTACTACTACTGCTAAAATACTAAATTATTTAATGCAGTGATCATGCTTAACACTTTTAGTAATAGCTGAAACTGTTGAAGTTATCATTAAACACCTTTTCTTAAAAGCGTGTTGTTGTTGTTGTTGATGTTGTTGTTGTCGCTGTTGTTGTCGTTGTTTCGTTGTTGTTGTTGTTGTTTATCATAATTAACCTTAGTACCAACACAGACATAACAGCATGACGTCATCAACAAAAAAATAACATTAAAAACATCGTCACCAGTAACAACAAAGACAACAAACCACAACCACAACGACAACAACCACGGCAACAAAAATTATGTAGCACTTCATTTAAAAGGGATGATAAATCAACGTGATGTCTTCATATCAAAGAGAAAAAATTGGACGATGGTGATGATGGTAATGATGATGACGACGATGATGTTGATGATGATGATGACGACGACGATGATGTTGTTGATGTTAATGTTAATGAAGATATAGATGCATGTGTGAGGTGTTTATGCATTCATTTCGGCATTGCTCTTTTGGGATTGTATGTATGTATGTATGTATGTATGTATGTATGTATGTATGTATGTATGTATGTATGTATGTATGTATGTATGTATGTATGTATGTATGTATGTATGTATGTATGTACATTTGTATGTTTGTGTGGGTGTACGTTTGTATGTATGTTTGTTTTTTGTATGTGTTCATTGATTGTGTTCGTTTGTATATGTATGGATGTATGTATATGTGTACGTATGTGTGTGTATGTGTGTGTGATTATGTGTGTGTGTGTTGTGTTTGTGTGTATAATAGAGATGCACGGGTTAAAATTTGACATTTGGCTTTGCTTTTTTAGCCATTTAAAATGTCAAATAGCAGAATGATTCGATTTCTGCTTAGACCATACATTCTATGTGTTTCCAGAAAGATAGTTATTGATTCTTATCAGAGGAAAACCAACATTAAATAACTCGATACTAATCATGCACCTAAAATAATGAGAGATGACTCTAATTAGCGACTTAGGTGTGTTGTTGAGTATTAGTTAGTGTTTAAAATGTTTTAAAGTTTAATAATCGAGATCGACCGAGAAACGACTCATCCATTATGGTTAATAATATATTTTTTTCATTGTTTTATATTATAACAAAACTTGAATTGTAAAATAATGTAAAGATTACCAAAGAGCGTTCAAATGTGTTAGAATGTGTTAAGTCTTAAAATGTGTATCAGAGAAAACTAAGATAACTCTTAAATCTCTTTCAATTATCTGCTCGCCTATTTTATACCACGAGACCTTGCTCCCCAGAGCTTAAACAGTTGTCTAACTCTTTCAAACCAGTCAGTCCAATCCTATGGTATGTCACA